TATAAAGACCAAGAGTAATGGGCAGCAAGAGAAATGATCACACAAATAAAGTTCATTTTAGCAACTGGAGCAAAGGTTTCCAGATAATCAATGCCATAAGTTTGTGTGTATCCTTTGGCTACAAGTCGAGCTTTGTACCTCTTAGTTGAGCCATCTACCTTGTGCTTAATAGTGTAGACCCACTTACACCCAACAGGAGTCTTATCCTTAGGACATGGAACAACCTCCCAAGTCTGGTTCTTTATCAGGGCCTCCATCTCTTGGTTCATGGCTTCCTTCTAGTGAGGGGACTGTGTTGCCTCTGTAACACTGCAAGGGATGGAAACAGAAGAGATGGTAGAAATATAGGCACAATAGGAAGGTGAGAGAGCATCATAAGACACATAGTTAGTAATAGGGTACTTGCTGCATGCCCTCTTCCCTTTTTGAGTGGCAATAGGAAGATCAAGGTCAGGATTAGTAATAGAATTATCAGGAGGTTCAAGATTACCCGAGTCTGGGAGATCAGATTCTGATGGGCATTCTACTTTAGGAGCCACCCTCTTACTGCACCTGATGAAAAATTGCTGCCAGGACCGAGGCCAATACATAGGAGGAGGAGGAGGAGGAGGAGGAGAAGGAATACCATCGTTACAGGGAAGAGAGGGAGGAGGAACAAAAGAGACAGGGACAGGAAGGCAAAAGGGAGTCCAATCTTCACTTGCATTCTCCCCCTGAAGAGGACGGGATGACTGGAAAAAGGAGGACTCCAAAAAGGTAGCATCCTTAGAGACATATCTCTTGCTAGAGAGAGCATCAAAGCATCTATAGCCTTTCTGGACAGGAGAGTAACTAAGGAAGACACATTTAACTGACTTAGGATCAAACTTACACCGGGAAGGACTCATATCATGAACAAAACAAACACAACCAAAGATTTTAAGGGGGAGATTGGAAAGAGGTTCATCAGGAATGAGAAGTTGATGAGGAGACTGAAGATTAAGGGTCCTTGAAGGAAGTCTGTTGATGAGATACACAAATGTCTCAACAGCATCACCCCCGAAACGGGTGGGAACATGAGTCTGAAACAGTAAACCTCGAGCAACTTCAACCACATGCCTATTCTTCCTTTCAGCTACCCCATTTTGTTGTGGAGTATGATTACATGAACCCTGGTGAATAATGCCCCGATCTTCAAGAAGTCTATGCAAATGATGTTCAAAGTATTCCTTGGCATTGTCAGATCTTATTATCTTAACTCTTTTCTCAAACTGTGTCTCTACCATATTCATGAAGTTTTGAACCACCATAGGAACTTCATCTCTACTTTTCATCAAGTAGAGCCATGTATACCGACTGTAGTCATCAATGAAGAGGATGAAGTATTTATACCCACCCATGCAAGGGATAGCATATGGGCCCCAAACATCAGTATGAATCAAATGAAAAGCAACATTACTTCGTTTACTACTTGCAAAATATGTGGTTCTACACTATTTTGATAGATGACAAACTTCACATTCAAAGTTCAACTTTGACACCGAGTCAAATAAGTTTGGAAACAAAAGTTTTACAAAATTGAAAGACATACGACCAAGAYGAAAATGCCATAATTTCAAGACTCATTTTCTCATTTGAACAAAACTCAGTCTAGCTTGATAATCCATGCTCTGAAGGTCCATCAAAGAGGTAGACTCCATCAGTTTCATGCCCACTTCCAATCATCTTCCCTGTGCTCAGGTCCTGAAAAACACAATGGGTAGGAAAAAAGGTCACTTAGCAATTATGGGATTTAGTAAGAGAACTAATAGACAACAAACTTTTATGTAATTGAGGCACATGAAGAACCGATTCAAGAGAAAGATTATGAGTGAGTTTGACTTCACCCTGACCCGAAATAGGGGTCTAAGATCCATCAACAACAATTATCTTGCCCTTCTCTGGGGTTAACTTATATGAGGTAAAATGTGAAGGCATACTAGTCATATGGGCACTAGCCYGGAGTCTACAATCCAAGGACTAAAAAATGTGGAACAAGCAAGTGCAGTACCTGTCTTGGCATATGAACTAGATGTATTACTAAGTCCAAAACCAGATGAGGAGGATGTACCACCGTTTTCCAGCTGCAGCAGTAAATTCCTGAGTTTGTCCATTACATCAGAGGAGTCATGAACATTAGAAGGTTGAACATTATTACCAATTGTAGCCAAGTGAGCGTTTCCCTTCCTCTCGGTTTTGTACTTTTCTGGTTTTAAGTGAGGATTGAGCTTCCAACACTTTTCCTTAGTAGTATGTCTTGGCTTCTTGCAATAATCACAAACCACATCCTCAGCCTTCTCAATAACATGGTGCTTACTATATTTTGCTTGGATCGAGATGACATAAAGGCAGAGTGATAAATCGTAGGAGGTTGCATCATGGCTGTCTTTCTACTCTATTTCCCTTGTACAAGGGAGTAAACGGAAGCAAGAGTGACAATGCTGGCACTAAGAATATGTTACCTAATAAAATCAAACTCTGGATTCAAGCCAGCTAAGAAATCAAAGACTCTATTCTCCTCTATATACTTTCGATATTGCTCACCATCTTCAGGGTCCTTCCATACAAGAGTCTTCAGGTGATCCATTTCTTCCCAGATAGACTGTAGAGAAGAGAAATACATAGCCACAGATCTCTCCCCCTGATGCATACTGCAAGCTTCCCTCCAAAGCTGGTATGCTCTAGCAGTATTGTTAACTTGGGAATAAGTGGAAACAACTCTATCCCAAATATCTTTGGCCATTGGAAGAAACATGTAGTTTCGGGCAATATGAGGTTGCATTGAGCAAATCAACCATGACATTACAAGAGAGTTATCCTGTTCCCACTTCACATATTTTGGATCTTCCAGATTTGGCTTCACCTCCTTTCCTGTGATGAATCCCAGTTTACCTCTCCCAGTGATGGTAAGTTTAGCAGATTGGAACCACTCTAAAAAGTTGGTTCCATCAAGTTTAACAGTGATTATCATACCACTGGAAATGTCTGCACTTCCCGGGAACACACTGGAAACCATCTGTACATCCTTAGATGATTCCATAATCTATCCAAACACTTTCGCGTCAACCAAAAGGGGCCCCAAATACTTAACCACAGCTAAGGACTCAAGAAACTAGGCCACCACACAGTTAAGAAGCAAAAAAGGGCCAAAAAACTAAGTTGACGCCAAAATAGAGGGAGAAGAAAATCTCCCAAAAATTGTCTAGGGCTTAGAAAAATACGGGACCACTTCCCGTTGCTCCCAAGGTAAAAAACGACCTGAATGGTCTAGGTTTTGCAGCAGAAAAACTGATTAAACAAAGTGTATAAGGCTCGACATCAGATCTGGATTTTTTGCGATTTTCTGCTTGAAAAATCTATTAAATATCATAGAAGCTTCGAACGAAGACAAGAGCCATACCAAAAATCTTCTAAAATCAGGGCGAATCAAACCATATATAATTCATGTATTGCCGCCAACACCTGTACGGACTGCTGACGTCATCCACGCGGCGGTCTGATGTCAGCAGTTCATCTTGTGCAAGAGAGTCAGGAAAAAAGGTATTCCCATGTGCCTTAACCTTGCTCTGATACCAAGTTATCAACTAGTATTGTAAATCTAGGGTTTGTATGAGAAAGGAAGAAAGAAAGAGAAAGGAGAAGAAGAGAGAAATGTGTTGAATGGTGTGTTCTTGTTACTGTTCACGCCCTCAAAAAGCATTTTATATTTTGAAACAAGAAATTACAAAGAGGTCCCTACTTGGGCACCCAAATACAAAAAGAGTACAAAGAGAAGAGGTAAAGACTAAAAACACCCTTGCCTAAACTTTCTCAACAATGTGAGAGGGAGTAATTGTGGAAAGGGATGGGAAAAAAAGGGAGTTAACGTTCTATTGATGCAAAGGATTTTGAAGGTGGAGGATTTTTATGTTCTATTGTTGTATATATTCTCTAGTGATTTCTTATTACAGTATCACCTTTCTCTTGTACCAAGCCCTTGTTATATTTAATTCATGTGAGAGGGAGTAATTGTAGAAAGGGATGGAAAAAAGGGGGGGTTAAGATTCTATTGATGCAAAAGATTTTGAAGGTGGAGGATTTTTATGTTCTATTGTTGTATATATTCTCTAGTGATTTCTTATTACAGTATCACCTTTCTCTTGGAGAGACTCTTATTTTAATGAGATCTTCTTTTATTATAAAAGGAACCTAAGGGATCCCTATTTTGTACCTTTCTTTCTTTTTTTCTCTTTTCAAAACCTTTGGGTGTTTTATGTTTTAACAATAAAACAGTACAACAAAGCATAAATATTATATATTATATGTAGTGTGATATTATCGAGGTACATGATAATAACATACATCAAAGTAATAATGTTACAATAAGGCACCTATCTTGTAACTTTTGTCACTTAGATGATCATCTTATCACCTAGGCAGGTGCCTAGTCTCACCTAGACAGTTGCCTTTTTAATATAATTCATGGTGTTCTGGTGCCCCTTGGTGGGTGCCTAGGTGAGAACTTGACAACTACGACCTTCTATTACTTGTCCAAGAAATATATGTTCCTATAGTCCAGATCATCTAATTGACAGCCCACCTCTTGAATGAGTCATCCCTGAATGATCCTAATAACATTGTGAAATAACTTTTGTTGAATACTCCCCATAGTCAATGACAATGCCAAATAAAGCTGCTTCTTGGATGGTGATGATCATCCAATGGAATGTGACCTTGTATTATTCAATAGGTAGCAGTCACTTATGAGTCTGAAATAGTATCTATTACTTTCTAGATAGATAATAATTGGTTGTACCACATGTTAAATGAGTAAATGTCAGAAATCTCTTTCCTAGAACTTATCTCAGTAGCAAAAGATTCAAGATCTGAGATAAAATGGAGATTTTGGTAATCTAGTCTCCATGCACTCAACTGAATCAACTTTTTAAGTATCATGTTTACATCCAGTCAAGAAGATTCTTTTCTCTCTTATTTGTTTGTAGGAACTATTATTCCCAGTAGTTGAATTATTTCAGCGGCTTCAGTTTTTGGCTTCTTGGGATGATCCTTTTAAGTCAGCAATGTTTCTGGTGGTGATTTGTTACACAATTTTCAGGTATTTTTTTTACCTAAGGAAATTTCTAGGTCATTTTCTTGTGGCATAGTTTGTGTTGAATGATAGGCATGTGCCTAGTAGCAGAAATCTTGAAATTGGCATCATTTATCATCGGATTTTGATTATTCTGTTGTATTAATTATGTGAAAAAAAACCATTTTTGCTTTCCTTTCTTTTCATCATTAGTGTGATAAAGGCCAAAAAGAAGTGTAAGAAAAAGTTGAAATAAAGAAGAAAAGTGACAAGGAAGAGATTTGTTTGAGACAAAGTCAAAAAAGAGAGGAAAAGGAAGAAGAAAGAAGAAACTAGGTCTAGGAGAGAGAGGTCCAAACTGTCTTCTCCCTCTTGTCGACTTTTGTTCTATTAGGCTTCTAATAAAGACAAAATTACAAAAATACCCTCCAAGAGTTACATATARCATGAGACTTAGAAACAAAGGGAAAAAGACACTATTGCCCCTGAACCTTAGACTTTAATATTCCCCCTCAAGCTGGAGCATATATCATAAAGCTCTAGCTTGTTACAAATGTAACCCATCTTGGCATGGCTTAAACTTTTGGTGAATAGATCAGCTAGCTGATTTTCTAATCTTACATAGGGTGTGATCATGGTGACAACATCACCACTTGTCACCTTTTTCCTTTCAAAATGACAATCGACTACTATGTACTTGGTTCTCTCATGAAAAACTGGATTAGAAAGCAATGTGTGTGCTAACTTGATTATCACATAAGAGCTTTAATTGGTTTGTTAACAGGAATGCCAATCTTTTGGAGGAGAGGCTTTAACCAAATCACTTCACAAGTGGTGTGTGCCATTGCCCTGTATTCAACTTCCACACTACTTCTAGCAACTACACTATGCTTCTTACTTTTCCAAGTGATTAGATTCCCGCATGGGAGTACATTA